CATTGTCCCCCCTTGCCATGGCTCAGGGGTTGGGGCTTTATCTTAGGAACCAGGGAGGTCACAGTTTGTTTCCTGATCAGGGCACTTGCCTGGGTTCAGGCTCAATCCCCAGTGAGGGGCGTGCAGGAGGCAGCCAGTCGATGATTCTCTCTCATCATTGATGTTTCTATCTCTCTTTACTTCTCCCTTCATCTCTGAAATCAATAAAAATACTGGGGGGGGGGGGGGGCAAGCATTTGCTAGTGCCCATAACACTCCAGACCTATGTTAGATCGGGGACCCAGTGGGAACGGGATTTCCAGGAGACCACAAACTCAGGTTTGTGGTCCCACCACCTCCCTCTCTCAGACCAGCCCACTTGAAGGCCCCGGGCTCTGTGATCCAGGGCAAATTACTCCCAGTTTCTGGACCTTTCCCTCATCTGTGGATAGTGACTGGACTTCCTCACAGGGTTGACTGGGGGAGGAACAACATGAGAGATGATGAGGGGAAAATATTCAGCATTCCCTAAGCACCAATAAATGCCAACCATTGTATTGGCTTTCATTTATATGTGTTTGCAACCTTAATAAATAAATACGTAATAACTATTTCCTAAAGAACCTCTTCTACATGTGTACAAAGAATTTATGCTGGATGGTCTAAATCAGTGATGGCGAGCCTTTTGAGCTCGGCGTGTCAGCATTTTGAAAAACCCTAACTTTGGTGCCGTGTCACATATAGAAATTTTTTGATATTTGCAACCATAGTAAAACAAAGATTTATATTTTTGATATTTATTTTTATATATATTTAAATGCCATTTAACAAAGAAAAATCAACCAAAAAAATGAGTTCGCGTGTCACCTCTGACACGCGTGTCATAGGTTCGCCATCACTGGTCTAAATAGCCAAACAACTGAACACAACCTGAGTGTCCAAGAGTCGGGCAGTGATTAACACATAGTGCATAACTCCGTGCATTCTAAGACTTACTGCACAGCTGTTTTGTAGAAGGAGGTAGCTCATATGAACTGAAATGGAGAGATCTCTAAGAAATAGCATTAAGTAAGTGTTAAGGGTAAGTTCCAAAATTGGTACAGAATGGTTCCATTTCTGTAAATCTAAAAAAAGATCTAGAAGAATTCACACCAAATGATTTTGCCCTGGTTACCCCCTGGGAGGGGATGTGGTTAAGGAGGGTGGCCTGAAGGGGGTTTCACTTTATCTGTAATGTTTAAATTCAAGAATACCTGCTATACCCTAGGTATCAAAAAAGATTTAAGGGGGTAGGTGGGTGGGTGGGTGAGAAGAGATCAACCAAAGAACTTGCATGCATATATGCATAACCCATGACACAGACAATGGTGTGGTGAAGGCATGGGGGGTGGGGGGTGGGGTGCGCTAGAAGGGATCAATGTGGGGAAGAAAGGGGACATACATGATACCTTCAATAATAGAGATTTTTTAAAAATGATTATAAAAGAAATGACCCTTTTTTCGCCTCTCTGAGCCTCAGTTTATTTCTCTGCAGAACAAGGAAAATGGTCTCGGCACTAGGAGATGTTTAATGGTCCTTACCTCCCTGTGGTAAGATATAAATAACATGAAATGTACTTATTTACCTCACCCATTTTCAAGTGTACTGTTCAGCGGTGTTACGTACATTCACATTGTTGTGCAACCATGACTGCTATCCATCTCCAGAACTTTCTCACCATCCCAAACTGAAACAGCTGTGAGGGGGAGGTTGGGCAGCTCCGGTAAACCCCCAGCCCCAGCCCTCCCCGCAGGTCCGCTCACAGGAGTGGGCGTGTGTGCAGGGGGTTGGGACCCTGGGGTTTCCCTTCGATCTGTAAACTGGGGACAGGTGGGTGGGCTCAAAGGCAGGAAATTCTGAGTCAGGAAACCTGTGGGTGCGCCCACCTCCCTCTCTCAGCCTCGCTAACTGCAGGTTAAATTCCAGACCCCACAGCCGCGGCATCGACAAAGCATCTATGGCTCCTTTGCTCCCTGAGATCAGTCGTCACCTATCAGTCCTCACCTTTTTCTCTTTTCTGATTCTAAAATGAATACGCCTATCGCAAACTGACCTGAGTACAACGGGAAACAACTAAATGGAGGCCACCAGCCTGCGATCGTGGCAGTCACGGGTCATAGAGTGCAGACCTTGTGCCAGGCACTGGGCTCCAGACCCCCGGGTCCTCCCTCCAGCACCACCCCCGCCCTTCACAGCGATGTGACCCCACCTGAGGACCAAAGACGCTGGGCCTGAGCGAAGGGCTGGGGCAAGCAGCGTGGGGCTCAGCTCCGGTTTTCTGTTTCAGCCTCTGTCCTGTTTCTGTTCATATTTGGATTTGTCATGCCTTAAGAATCATTGTTTTACATTTCAATGTGGGCTGGTTTGGGTATTTTAGGAATAACAAGATATGCTATTTATAGCATCGTTTACTCATGAAATGATCGCATTGGGTGTTATTTAAAATTGTTTTAAAAAGGATCAGGCTCACGTTGTTGAGCGGCTGTCTGTTTGCTTCCGCCCCCCCCCCCCCCCCACCTCCCCTGGCCCGGTGGGCCAATCGGACCTCTTTAATTTCATACGTATGCGGATACGAAGAGAGCTCAGCCTAGCTGCGCGCCACATAATCTGTACTCTGAAGAGTAAAACCTCCTTTCCCCCCCATCTTTCTTAAAGAACAAAAATTAAGATATTGGGAAGGGCCCCCCGTACTG